GAGCAATACTTATATCAAAAAAAATAAACTTTAAAATAAAGAATGTTACAAGAGACAAAGAAAGAAACTACATAACGATCAAGGGAACAATCAAAGAAGATATAACAATTGTAAACATACATGCACTCAACATAGGAGCACCTCAATATATAAGGCAGGGCTTCCCTGGTGGCGCAGTGGTTGACAGTCCACCTGCCGATGCAAGGGACACGGGTTCGTGCCCTGGTCCAGGAAGATCCCACATGCCGCGGAGCGGCTAGGCCTGTGAGCCATGGCCACTGGGCCTGCGCGTCCACAGCCTGTGCTTCGCAATGAGAGGGGCCGCAACAGTGAGAGGCCCGGGTACCGGAAACAACAACAACAAAAAATATATACGGCAAAATGCTAACAGGCATAAAAGGAGAAACCAGCATTAACACAATAACAGTGGGGGACTTTATCATCCATTTTCATCAATGGGCAGATCATTCAGACAGAAAATCAATACGGAAACACAGGCCTTAAATGACACAAAGATGGACTTAATTGATATTTTTAGAACATTCCATCTGAAAGCACCAAAATACACTTTCTTCTCAAGTGCACATGGAACATTCTCCAGGATAGATCAAATCTGGGGCCACAATAAACGCCTTGGTCAATTTCAGAAAACTGAAATCATATCAAGCATCTTTTCTGACCAAAACGCTATGTGATTAAAAATCAACCACAGGAAATAAACTGTAAAAAACACAAACACATGGATGCTAAACAATATATTACTAAACCAATGGAACACTGAGGAAATCAAAGAGGAAATCAAAAAACACCTAAAGACAAATGACAACAAGAACACGATGGTCCAAAACCTTTGGGACGCAGCAAAAGCAGTTCTAAGAGGGAAGTTTACAGCATACAATCTTACCTCAGGAAACAAGAACAATCCCAAATAAACAACTTAACCTTACACCTAAAACAATGAAAGAAAGAATAACAAACAAAACCCAAAGTTACTAGAAGGAAAGAAATCAAAAGATCAGAGCAGAAATAAATGAAATAAACAAAAACAAACAATTGAAAAGATCAATGAAACTAAAAGTTATTTCTTTGAAAAGATAAAGAAAATTGATAAAAGTTTAGCCAGATTCATCAAGAAAAAAAAGCAGAGTACTCAAATCAGTAAAGTTAGAAATGAAAGAGAAGTTGCAACTGACACCACAGAAATACAAAGGATAATAAGAGACTACAACAAAACAACTATATACCAATAAAATGGACAACCTAGAAGAAATGGAGAAATTCTTAGAAAGATACAACTGAACCAGGAAGAAAAGAAAGTATGAACAGACTAATCAGAAGTACTGAAATTGAAACAGTGATTTAAAAACTTCCCCCAAACAAAAGTCCAGGACCAGATGGCTTCACAGGTGAATTCTATCAAACACTTAAAGAACAGTTAACACCCATCCTTCTGAAACTATTCTAAAAAATTGCAAAGGAAGTAACACTCCCAAGCTCATTCTATAAGGCCACCATCACCCTGATACCAAAGCCAGACAAAGATACCAAAAAAGAAAAATTACAGGCCAATATCACTGATGAACATAGATGCAAAAATACTCAACAAAATACTAGCAAACAAAATCCAAAAATACATTAAAATGATCATACACCATGATCAAGTGGGATTTATCCCAGGGACACAAGGATTCTTCAAAATACGAAATCAATCAATGTGATACAACACATTAACAAAGTGAAGAGTAAAAACCGTATGATCATCTCAATAGAAGGAGAAAAAGATTTTGATAAAATTTAACATCTATTTACAATAAAAACGCTCCAGAGAGTGGGCATAGAGGAAACATACGTCAACACAGTAAAGGCCATATATGACAAACCGACAGCTAATATCAAGCTCAGTGGTGAAAAGCTGAAAGTATTCCGTCTAAGTTCAGGAACAAGGCAAAGATGAGCACTTTCAGCACTTTCATTCAACACAGTTTTGGAAGTCTTAGCACAGCAATTATAGAAGAAAAAGAAATAAATGGAATCCAAATTGGAAAGGAAGAAGTAAAACTGTCACTGTTTGCGGATCATGATACTATACATAGAAAATCCTAAAGACGCCACCAAAAACCAAGTAGAGATCAATGAATTTGGTAAAGTTGCAGGATTCAAAATTAATAGTTAGTCCCCTACATATGAACGAGTTCCATTCTGAGAGCACATTATAAGTCCAATTTGTTTGTAAGTCCAACGAAGTTAGCCTAGGTACCCAACTAACATAATCGGCTGTACAGTACTGTACTGTAATAGGTATATAATACTTTTCACACAAATACTACATAAAAAACACAAAAAGATAAAACATTGTTAATCTTACAGTACAATACCTTAAAAAGTACAGTAGTACAGTACAACAGCTGGCATACCAGGGCTGGCATCAAGTGAAGAGGCAAGAAGAGTTACTGACTTGAGGATGGAGAGGAGGTGGGAGATGGCAGAGCTGAAGGATAGTCAGCAGTAGGAGACAGAAGGCAGGCTGTGATTTCACTCACACCTGATGTTGATGGAAGGCACTTTCCATCTTTGAAAGTTTGCAACTTGAAGGTTCATGTGTAGGGGACTTACTGTATATAGAAATCAGTTGTATTTCTACACGCTAAAAACAAACTATCAGAAAGAGAAATTAAGGAAACAATCCCATTAACCATCATGTCAAAAATAATTGTCAAAAATAATTAAACACCTGCAAATAAACCTACCAAAGGGGGCAAAAGACCTGCACTCCAAAAACTGAAAAGAAATTGAAGACAACATAAACAGATGGAAAGATATACCGTGTTCTTGGATTGGAAAAATCAGTATTGTTAAGATAACCATACTACCCAAGGCAATCTACAGATTCAATGCAATCACTATCAAATTACCAATGGCAGTTTCAGAGAACTAAAACAAATAATTTTAAAATTTGTATGGAAACACAAAAACCCCCAAATGGCCAAAACAATCTTCAGCAAGAATACGGGACCTGGAGCAATTAAGCTCCCTGACTTCAGACTATACTACAAAGCTACAGTCATCAAAACAGCATGGTACTGGCACAAAAATGGACACACAGATGAGTGGAACAGGATAGAAAGCCCAGAAATAAACCCATGCACTTAATAGTCAATTAATCTACGACAAAGGAGGCAAGAATGTTCAATGGAGAAAAGACAATCTCTTCAATAAGCAGTGCTGGGAAAACTGGACAGCTACATGTAAAAGAATGAAATTAGCACATTTTCTAATGCCACATACAAAAATAAACTAAAAATGGATTAAAAACCTAAATGTAAGACCAGATACTCAAACTCCTGGAGTAAAACATAGGCAGAACACTCTTTGACATAAATCACAGCAATATTTTTTTGAATCCATCTCCTAGAGTAATGGAAATAAAAGCAAAAATAAAAAAATGGGATCTAATTAAATTTAAAATATTTTGCACAGCAAAGGAAACCGTAAACAAAATGAAAAGACAACCTATGGACCGGGAGAAAATATTTGCAAACAATGTGACTGACAAGGGATTAATTTCCAATATATACAAAGAACTCATAGAGCTCAGCATCAAAAAAAACAAACAACCCAATCAAAAAATGGGCAGAAGACCTAAACAGACATTTTTCCAAAGAAGACATACAGATGAAAAGATGCTCAACATCACTAATTACCAGAGAAATGCACATCAGAACCACAATGAGGTATCACCTCACCTTTCAGAACAGCCATCATCAAAAAGTCTACAAACAATAAATACTGGAGAGGGTGTGGAGAAAATGGAACCCTCCTACACTGTTGGTGGGAATGTAAACTGATGCAGCCACTATGGAGAACAGTATGGAGGTTCCTTAAAAAATTAAAAATAGGGCTTCCCTGGTGGCTCAGTGGTTGAGAGTCCGCCTGCCGATGCAGGGGACACGGGTTCGTGCCCCAGTCTGGGAAGATCCCACATGCCACAGAGCGGCTAGGCCTGTGAGCCATGGCCGCTAAGGCTGCACGTCCACGTCCAGAGTCTGTGCTCCGCAATGGGAGAGGCCACAACGGTGAGAGGCCCGTGTACCGCAAAAAAAAAAAAAATTTTAAATAGAGTCACCATATGATCCAGCAATTGCACTCCTGGGCATATATCCAGAAAAGACAAAAACTAATTCTAAAAGATACACGCTTCCAATGTTCACAGCTGCACTATTTACAATAGCCAAGACATGGAAGGAACCTAAGTGTCCATGGACAGAAGAATGGATAAAGAAGATGTGGTACACATACACACATACACACACACACACACACACACACACACACACACACACACACACACACACACGATGGAATATTACTCAGCCATAAAAAGGATGAAATAATGCTATTTGCAGCAACATGGATGGACCTAGAGATTATCATACTAAGTGAAATAAGTGAGAGAAGAACAAGTATCATATGATACCAATTATACGTGGAATTTTAAAAAATGATACAAATAAACTTATTTACAGAACAGAAGTAGATTCACAAACATAAAGGACAAACTTATGGTTACCAAAGTGGAAGGGGAAGGAGGATAAATTAGGAGGTTGGGTTACCAAATACACACTATTATATATAAAATAGATAAACAACAAGAACCTACTGTATAGCACAGGGAACTATATTCAATGTCTTGTAATAATCTATAATGGAAAAGAGTCTGAAAAAGAATATATATATGTATATATGAATATATATCACTTGAATCACTTTGCTGTACACTTGAAACTAACAGAACATTGTAAATCAACTATACTTCAATAAAAATTAAAAAAACTTACCTAGATTAAACTGATGGAAAATAATTTTTATTGTTTCCTTAAAAATGATTTTGTTACCTACAAAAGCAATCCTTGTGAATTCCAAGGTGTACAGTCTCTTAAAATTTTCCTAATTACATAATTAAATAACTATATATAGAAAGATAGAAAAAAAAAGATACATACCATAAGTTTTTGCCCTGGTTCAGGGCAGAAAATAACAAAATCTGCTTCAATGTTAAGATGAATGTGTCCCTGATCATCATAAATATCTCCTAATTCACCCACTACTTTGATGTTATCATAAGCAACGGGTACACCTAAAAGGCTGTAAAAAAAAAAAAAAAGATAGAAAAGAAAAATGATATTTATCCCCTTTTAATTGATTAGATATTCTGAGTCCAGAGTATACATCTCCTAATATAATCAATCACCCATGACAAAAGCACAATAGTATATGATTAGTCTGCAACAACTTTAGAAGTTCAATTTCGTCAAAGGGTTCCAAAATAATGGCTAAGTTAAAAATAATTATTCAAGATAGGTAGCCAGAAACAAAATGTCCAAGTATGCAAGAGCAATAAGTTGACACTTCTTCCCTATTTCCTATTCATCTGAATTGTAGTCATGCTAGAATGAGAGAAAAAATGGTACTTAGCAAGAAAAATGTCTATTTCTGTGAATATTACTGAATCGAGGCAATTTTGGTATTATCCACCATTACCGAATTTCTGTACTAGATGGCATATAGCAAGAGAAGTATTAAGGTCAAAGCTGAAGCCCCTGAGTATTAAAGCCAATGACTTAATGGAGAAAAATCCCCAAACTGCAACTGTTGCTAGTATAACAAAATGATAACAAATACAACTATTTCATTTTTTGACAACTGATTCTCACACTTTAATCTGTATGTTCGGGGCTTCCCTGGTGGCGCAGTGATTGAGAATCTGCATGCCAATGCAGGGGACACGGTGAACCCTGGTCTGGGAAGATCCCACATGCCGCGGAGCAACTAGGCCCGTGAGCCACAACTGCTGAGCCTGCGCGTCTGGAGCCTGTGCTCTGCAACGAGACCGCGACAGTGAGAACCCGCACACCGCGATGAAGAGTGGCCCCCGCTCACTGCAACTAGAGAAAGCCCACGCACAGAAACGAAGACCCAACACAGCCTAAATAAATAAATTAATAAATAAACTGCATGTTGATTAAACATACAGGATTAGGGGACAACTACTATTTCCAAATGTCATTTCCAAGTTCTTAAAAAATTACAGCTACTGGGGATTCCCTGGTGGCGCAGTGGTTGAGAGTCCGCCTGCCGATGTAGGGGACACGGGTTCGTGCCCTGGTCCGGGAAGATCTCACATGCCACGAAGCGGCTGGGCCCATGAGCCATGGCCGCTGAGCCTGCGCGTCTGGAGCCTGTGCTCCACAACAGGAGAGACCACAGCAGTAAGAGGCACACGTACCGACAAAAAAAAAAAAAAAAAATTACAGCTACTAAGGAGTCTGAGCTGGTGACTTCACTGCCACAGCCACTACCTACATGTTTCTGAAAACCTTCCTGACTCCCCCAGGCAAGGCTTAAATCATGCTGCCTCTACTCCTATAGGACTCTGAGCACTGTTCTTATTTACCTAATCTCTTTGTTTACATGTTTGGATTCCAGACAGGAGTCTACGGCCTTTGAGAGCAGAGAACATTTTTGGTGAACTCAAACTTCTAGAATGGTTCACAGAGAATAAAAGAAAGAATTTATACCTAGTAGCAGTTGTTTAAAACAGCCAGGAGTCACTGGAACGGAACTTAATTAAATACCAAATTAGGAAATCCATAAACTCAGAGACTTACTCCAGAAAGCACCCTTTTGAATTACTAATTTCTGCATGTGGCTTTCCTAAGCAGGAACTATACCATCACAAAGAGAATATTAGGGGCCCAGAAAACAGAGAGAAAGGAGGGGTTTAAAAAAAAAGTAACTGCCACATGAGAAAGAAAAACAAAATTAACACTTTGTTTCCCCTAATCAACAATTAAAGAGTTTCAAGTGGGGGAAAACTGTTGTCCCCTAAGGGGCATTTGGGAGTTTGTAGTACTAATCATAGTTGTCACACTGCAAAGGCCAGGGATGGGAAACATTCTGCCACGTACAAAACAGTCCTACACAATGAAAATTGTCCCTAGCGCTACATGAGTTAAGTGAGTGGACAAACCTCATTTTATAAACATTTATAAACAGTCGGTCATAGTACCTAAAAATATATGCATATATGCGTGTGTGTGTGTATGAACATAAAATCTTTGCATGGTTTCAATATAAGTTAAAATTTCCAGGAATATAATATATAAATTCAAGAGTAGCTTGTTTTGCATGGAACTTTACTGAGAAAATACACATTATTTCAGGATAGCATTTTACCACTATAGACACTGTATGTTATGTGAGCTGTCAACCCAAGATCCCTGCACCAATCTACATTTGCAACTGATACATTCACAATGATTCAAGGTTAAGGAGGCTTTATTCTGTCCAGATAGTCATGCTTGAGCATTATCACACTGAAATAAATTTTACTGTATTGTATTAGAGCACTACATGAATGTTTTTTCAATTCTGTAGGTAGATTATACTATCTTTAAGTTTCATTTCAGTACACTAAAGTGTGTTTCCAATGACAGTAAAGGTAGTACTGCAAAATATTCCTTATAAGAGGGCATACTGAGCTCTGCAGGTTTCAGAACTGCTGACTAGGGAATGTGACCATAGAGCCTAAACCCAAAAGAATTTGTGTAAATCCAGCAAACCTTTTCAGAAGCAACTCACTGCATAATATTTACTAGAAATCATCAGACAGAGACAGACACCTCAACATTATACCTTTCCGTCTTTTACCTTTGCTTTTCTGAAACCATCCTAAGTAGGTTTCAGGGCCGAGTGATAGCCTCACTTGAGATACTTAGAAAACAATTAAGTCAAGTTTAAGGGATGATTAGACTGCATGCACACTTAAGACTTTTCTGGAACTACTGGGAGGTAACATATTTGCCACCTTCAAATAACTCAAGAGCTGTCATATACAAAAGGGATAAGAAAATGACCTCTCAAAGATATAACTTAGAAATTATAATGTGATTTTGGAAACCTACTCATTTTCTCTAAGCAGACTTTTCAAAACTGAAATGGTATTATCTTTAAAAAATTCTGTCACTGGGAAAAAAAAGGTGGACAGTGTGTCATGTAGAGGATGCTGTTGAGATAACTAACGTGAGAGCCATTCTCAATTCTCCCCTTTTCCTTACTTCTTAAACAAAGAGAAGCATGTCCTCCTGATTGTATAGGATGGCCCCAAAGTCTGGAAACATAAACTATATATGATAAATGATGGATCAATATTACAATTCTTGATATATTCAATGTTTTGTCCCTCATTATTAATGCACAGTTTAATGTATGGTGCCCCTTTTGCACAGAATAAACTAGAGTTTTTAGCACACCCCAAAAATAATGGGGGGTAGGGTGGGGAGTTCAGATCTGTTCAGAGTGCAACTTAGGCCACATGGTCACACTGTCCAATTCAGTTACAGAAATTATCATTATCCAGTCAGTTCCTCATCTCTCTGGTGTCATGGTTCCTATTCCTCTAGCCTGTCAAAGTGGAGGCATTAATTAGTTACAGATCAAACATCTGTCTATGTTTCCAGATTTTATGACCACCTTACATATCCTTAAATCTCCCAAATGCATCCTCTCTAATCAATTTTCTCTTGGACAAGTATAACAAGCTCTTAATTTTTCTTCATATTTATTGTCTCATCCTCCTTAAACCATCACATAATGCTATCAAGTGGTTTCTTAAACTGCAAATCTGCTTATGTCCCAGACATCACAGGTACCACTGTCTCAAGAGTGTGCCAAGTTTCAGAGTTGGAGGTTATTGAGAGGACAAAGTGGTAACCCTGCTTCCTGCTTAAGCAAACAGAACAAACAAACAAAAAACACCTGGCAAAGGCAGGTGGGGAAGAGCAAAATGGCCATCCTTTCTGAATTATCCTCCACCCCATCTTTGAGCCACTGCCCTCCTCTCCAGCTGTACCCAATGTCTTTCCCCTGATAGAAACTTTACTTCAGTTATAAAGTACTTACAATTATCTGGGCAAAGTATTCTACTTCACAACTGCTATCCATTTGTTTATGCCACTCTTTTTGCCCAGAATGCTGATATCTCAAAAGTACCCTCCTCCTACCAAGTTGTTCTCAAAGGTCCTAAGATCCAATTCACCACTTCTTCTTACTATAACTTAATTTAGATTTCTGTCAAATTTTAACATTTCATTGATTTATCTGGCTTACATCTGTATCTTTACTAGTGCTTAAAGCTTCTTGAAACAGGGATCTTGTTTTTTTTTATATCCCAAGTCTCAGTCTCTAGTATACAAAATAGACACACAAGTGTGTGCTGGTGCTTGGAGGAAGCTGCAAATTCTAGATGCTTAACCTGTGTAGTGTTCAGGATCCCTTGAGAAAGTAGTGAAAACCTTGGATGCTTTACCCAAGAAAACTGACATAGGAAAACTGCAATTTCCATGGGTTCATTAAATTCCTGAAGGGTAATAACGAATCCCCAGGGAATCCACTCACTCTAGTTTTATAACCCTTATTTTCCAGCCAAGTGGTCTAGAGGAATATTAAGGTATATCTGCCCCCTCCCCCTGACCCTCCACCCTTGTAATTCTAAGCGTTTTCAAGTTATTTTCGAATATCTTACTTTAAATGCAGCAAAAGGGTTTTTTTCACCTTTAAGAGCAACAGGCTTTCCTTTTCCCACTCTTAAAAAGGAAACAAAGTAATAGTATTTCTCTCATCCCTGATCAGGTCCAAGAGAAGAGAAACCAGGGAGAGTACCAGGGCCAAAACAATAAAAACCGCCCTTCGTGGTTTATAAATAAACGATTGAACGAAGTGTTAATGCTTCATGTATAATTTTCTATAAAGTGAGAGAGAATCTTTTGAAGTACTGCATTCCAAACTTTCATTATCAAATGAGAAAACATACAAAACTAACCGGTCTCCAAACCCCTGGTCTATTCTTACCTCTTCCTCTCGTGGAGCGAGCTTCTTCACCCCTTCCGCCGACACAATTCATGTCACCTTAACGTTTTCTTTCTTGCCTATGAAAGGGACTCTGTACAGATCTTGACCAGGGAGGCACTAGCCTCTCGAGGTGGACTGCCACTCCAGAATGCCTCGGGGTAAGCTCGCTGAGGCCGGTGAGACCTCCCATTCGCCCCTTTTCTGCTGCGCCATTAAGACGTCCACCCGCTGCCCCCTCCCGTGCCCCAAAGAAGGAGCAGTAAGCAACGTTATGATGTTGTCCGCTCTGGGAAAGAAAAGTGTAAGAGACTGGTACCTCTCGGAATAGCGCAGGAGCTCGGCATCGAGCTGTTCTCGGATACCGGTGCGTTTCCTGTTAAGGTAGCGCGGCGACAGTGCGATGTGTCTTCGGTGCGGCCCCGCCACCAGGCAGGAGTAGCGGCTATTCACGAGCGCACAGGCGGCCGCGTAGGTAGGCAATTCTAGGCAAGGCAAGACGCCGGCCGGTCCCACCACCGGCCCTTCTGAGGCCGCCTTCGGCCGCGGAGACGCTGAGCAACCCGCAGCCATGCGGCTAGTCAGGTTTCCCACGGCGCGCACTTGCTTACGCAGTCAATAACCGCCTCTCTCCGGACGCCGGGTTTCTACGTCATCCACCAGCTACCACGCCCCTAGGAAATTTCCTCTCCTGGCGCTGAAGTACTCAATTCTGACCAGCAGGGGGCAACCGCTTTTTCGCACTTGGACGCCTGTGGAGCTAGGAGCCTGTGGTTAAGCATTGAGCATGCTCAAAGGCCAACCATCACCCCGTCGCTCAAGAGACCGCAAACCCGTATTTTCGCTACGTCCTCATTGGATTTAGAATGTAGATTTATTCGGGGTTCACACTTTGATCATATCCAGTAGTACGGTGGTTTGGTAGGTTTACAAGCTTGGACGGTACAACAAATAAATTTTAAAATATTTATGGAATATATTTTGTGCAGAGAACCCAATCCTAAAAAACAGCCCAGATGCCTCAGACGCAACACTTCTGAAAACGAAACCATCATCCCTCTCCAGCCCGGCTTCTCTTCTCATTCTGTATCACTAATTCAGGAAGTCATACCACCACTTTCCAAATGGCTCGGTCTGTCATCCCAAGGGCCTCTCTTGTACCCCCAAACGTCACACCAGCCCCAAGGCCTGTGGGACACAAAGCCGAAACATCACTCTGTTCATACATTTCTTTCCGGCCTTGCATCCGAAACTTCAGGATTGCCTGGGGAAGCTTAGTTTTATGGTGAAGATACTCTGGAGCAGCCAGGTCTCCATGAGCTTGCCCTGTTTAAAGCCTCACACAGGCACCCCATTTCCCTCAGGACGACACAGACTCCTTAATCCGGCTCTTAAATTACCAAACCATTTTATAATTTGCGCCCAGAATTTTCATTTACCACTCCTCACTTTACACTAGCTGCTAGCCCCAGCATGTTCAGTGAGCCACTCAGCCCACCTTCTGCCCCTCCCCACTCCCTCTCCCCTCCCCTCCCCCCACCCCCCAAATCTTCCTCTCCCTTTCTCTTCAGTCTTATGCTATTCCTTCTATCTGGGAATAGGGCAGCTTCTCTCACATGGGAAAATTCTACTCCTGTGTCAAATTTTAGCTCAGATATATACCCTTTTCCTCTGAGTAGTTTACTACCACCCTACTTCTCTTCCCCACCTAATGATAAGGTAGTTCCCCCATCTTTGTAAATTACCACCATCAAACACTGGTTTTATATTAATTTTATGTTAATTGCCTGTTTGTCTCCCCTCCCCCCCTTCCTTACCTAAACTCCAAGGTCACTAAGGCTGGGACCATGATATCAGTCTAGTTCACCACTGCAACCCCCATATGACTCAAAAATAAAATAAAGATGAAATAAAATTCACATTTTATGACAAGACAAGAAAAATTTAAATGTAAGAATTTTCTCTGCTGATTTGGGCCTCCTCCCTCCCCGTTAGTGTGTATTGTGCATTTGCAGACCTCCTTAGGAGATAACCTTCCTTCTTCATCCTGTAAGGGGTCATGATGATCACTACTCACTTTGTTAAGTGCCTATCTGGACTGTATAATCTGCTGATGCCTCATGTGATGTATAACGCTTTGTCTCAAAAATGTGTATAAGTGTGCTTTGCCATCTAACGGGCAGAACAGTTCTCAAAGCTTTCTGAAAAGCCATCTCCTAGGTTATAAACCTCAGGCTGGCTCGAATAAAATTTTCCATTTCTTGCTTAGATCAACAATTGATTAAATTTTTTGTCAACACAATGCATCTTAAATGAATGAATACAATAACAGGTGATAAAGAGCTTTGAGTCTAAGTTAGGAAGTAGTATCTAGACATAAACATGTAACATGTATTAGACTGCATAAGTGCCAAGAGAAATGTATATCAATTAGTGGTATGAGTACTAACACCCTCCCACGTCCCCTAGGTACTGTGAAAAAACTCTCTCTATACCTGTTTTCCACTTGTAAAATAGGGATAATAATACTTGCCCTGCCTACTACAGAGATGATAAAAGGTTCAAATAAGTAAAAAGCATCTTCTTTAGTATTCTTTAATTGACTTCAAATTTAGCAAGAGAATTGGAAGAAACCGCTCCCAAAGCCCAATGGTGAACATGTTAAGTCCATAAATGGGAAACGTAACAGACTTTACCTTGATTTTGTTGCAAAGCCCTGCAGCGGTCCTGTGCTGGACCCCTTTGTTCAGTGTTCTCAAACTTGGCTGAACATCAAAATCCCCTGAGGAGCTTTAACTTCTCCTGATGCCTAGAGGGCACTCCAGACCAATTAAATCAAAACCTCTCCTTGGAGTCAAGATGCATCTAGGCTGTCTGCAGATGATAAAACATGAATGAAAACAATTAGTCCAAACACAATTTAGTAAAAAACAAGCTGGACATCAGGACAATTCAGTCAAAACAAAACTTACCTGAAATCAATTACTCCAGTAATGATTATACACAAATTTAAAATATGAAGTAGTTTTGTAAGGTAACTCTTTGGATGTTCAAAGGCAATTTGCTTGTTTGATTTTGAGAATTGTTTTCTACTTTTTAATCTTTTAAATCTGGTTTGATTGTTAGCCACTATTCACACTCTGCATGATTTCAAAGAGTGAAAGGGTGATTCAGCCTGCATGTAAATGTTCAACATTATGGAGTGACTTTCCCAAATTAACCTATTCCACCTACCACTCCAGGGAAGAAAACAGAAGTACAATGAGATCCCTCCTACCTATCTCCCATCCCACACACATACACAAAGTTTATTTCATTGTGACCTATATTCAGTCTGCACCATTTCCTTTTTCTCTAAAATTTGATCAAAGTGTAATAGGAAGTCAGGCAACGATGGTCCCTGTCTCATGAAAAGCCCTGTCAAGCCAAAGGCAAGTCTGTGCTAGGAAAATCCCCCTTTTTTCAAGAAGAGAAGAGGTTAGAGATGACTTTGACCTCATGTCCACTGACCCCAAAGAAAGAGAGAAAAGTGTTCCTTTAACTTGCTATACTTTTTTTTTAACCACTGATCCTTCCCTCCCCAACATGCACACACATACACTGTATTATGTTAGTCTGTTTCTATTTCTTTCAATCAAAGAATCCCTGGAGCAATATAAATACACAATAATTGGTGGTTTGGCCAAAATAAATTACAAAGTAATTTGAGCTGTATGCTTTGATTTTGCCAGGAAATATGCACACTTATGTGATTAGAAAAGAATATGGATATATAAATGCCATGTATTAATATTAGTTATCTCTTGAGGGTGGGTTGGTTTGTGGCTTTTTTCCCTTTGAGCGAATTTTCATATTATATTGAGTGTGCATTGTTTTATACTAAAAATAAAAAATCAGAAAATCAGCAAAAGGATTCCCGTTATTGAAGATTTTACAATTTCCTACTGACAAATTTGCAATTTCATTTGTCAGTAGGAAAAATTAAAATAGCTTCAATACAAACTAGCTGTTTGAAATAAATGTGTTCAGTTTGGGAAAGAGTTGTATCTTAGTTGTTCAATAAATTGTGAAATACAGTGCTTTTGGGGAAAATACATGTATAAAATTTACCTGATGGGTTTTGGAAATGATGAAACAAAACACAAAAATCTGAACACAATATATACCAACCATGCAGACTACTTGTAATTCACAAATGTGTCAGCAGATGGCAAACATGAGCTTTATATTTATAAAGTTTTGCTTTAGCACAAACTACTGTAGGAATGGCAAAAACCAAGGCAACTATTTATTGACAGCTGTTTTTTTTTTTTTGGTTTTTTTTTTTTTTTTACCTATAATCCTTCAATAAAGGACATAGGATCAAGTTTTGACTCTGAAAGCCCTTCCTACTGGCTTCTTAGATTGTTGAACTAACAGATGTACACCGTGCTTGCACTGAAGAAAAAGAAATAAGCACACTGCATTACATTTTATTGGATGTAATAGACTTTATATTTTGCAAGCTATAGCTATTGCTGAAAATACATAGAAATGAAATTATTCAAATGTATCTGTCTATAAGTTAAGACCTGACTGCTTTAATGAGGTTATATTTTATTGGTGGTCCTCAAAGTCAGGTCCCTGGACCAGCAACAGCTGCATCACCTGGGAAGTAGTTAGAAGTGCAGATTCTTAGGCCCCACCCAGGCTTACTAAATCACACCTCTGGGATGGAGCCCAACAATACATTTTACCAAGTGCTCTAGGTGATTATGACACCCGCTGAAGTCTGAGAACCAGGGGCTGTAAAGAGGCTTGAAATACAGAAGAGAGGCTCTGAATTTATTATTTCTGTTCAGGTATAACTGATGTAAATAGTGATAATCAACAATGTAGTTAATTACTTCTTTCATATGGTTTAGTGTTCAAACACAATAAAGTCTTTAAAATAAGGAACATAAAATAGTACCCAATTTACATTGACTCAGAAGGGTAGAAGCCATTACCTAATTTCCATGCATTTCTTATACTGAAAGAAGAACTTCAGTTTACGTTCCCCTTTGCATTATACTGAAAGGGATAACATTATGGTAAATTTTGCATTACAACCTATCTATTGAAACAAATTCAAACTAAGTCAAAATAGGATTATTTCCAAGGAGTAGAGAACAATCTTCATGAAAGAAAACAGTCCTTTACAAAATATGTGTTATTCTTATTGTATTAACACACGTATATGTTCTGTTTTCTCTAAGGCATAGTCAGATCCTCCTGCAATTCTTCTGTCACTGAAATAAGAGGCACAGCCATTTTAAATTAACAACAAATACACCCGGACACACTTCCATTTGTAAAAAAGAGAAAGTGTACAAAAATTGTTTATCTAATGTGATAATTTTATCTTAAACACTGCTATGTTTCAATTATCTTACTATTTTAATATTTTTATTAATTCAAAATTTCTCAAAGGATACATAAATTGACAGTTCCCATGAAGAGTCAGTGTTTACTCAACTTCTTCAGTATAGAGGCAACCTTTTTTCTCATCTTTAATATATAAATACAGTTTTCACACAGTTTTAATAAATAGACTATTGGTAAATCACATTAGGTGCTTATGAGGGTAATAACAAGGGCAAAA